GGATTCAAAAAGATTTTCTTCTTTTTAAAATTCTTTCAATTGTTTCATTGTTAAATTGTTTCATTCATATACTTTTAAATACATCTACGTAGGGAAGCAAAATAATCGAATCACTATATAAGTATGTTAATTCCAAGACTAAATGCACGTTTCAGAATATTGGAATTATTGCCATTACCAAAAATGCGAAATTAAAATATTAAATAAAATGCAATATGCACATATTTGCTTGGGCACTCATAAATAAAGAAAGAAATCATATTCCTCAATATATTCCGTATTTATGTTTTCATTTAGCATATGAATAACGAAAAATGAAATTCCTTATTTGCCATTTTTTTTGTATGGATCTCTAAATTTATCCGCTTGGCCAAGTGCGCGACAAGATGCAATCAGGGAATGTTTTTTCACCGCATCGGCGTTGCCTCTTGTAGCAAACCATTCCCTTTCGCCCTCCTTGGCGCCTGAGGATTAAAGCTCAAGGACGCGTATTTAAAGCCCTGCGCACAACAGAAGGAATAAAGAATAAGGACGATTTCAACCTATCAGATACCATGTATTTCGATGTATCTGATTTTTTATAAATTTGTAATGATATTATACCCTATAAATGTATCCTTCCCGGCAGAAATTCTAATTGGATACCATTGTACCTATCACTAGTGAGAGGCAACGATGAGGGCGCGATGCGCCCACATATTTTTTTTAAGATATCCAAAAATAATTCACAGACAGCCGCTCCGCCGGAAATACTTGAGCTCACTCGACTCCGACGAATTTTACTCACTCGTAATGTTAAGCGGCGAGAATTTCCGAACAATTTCGAAACAATACGAGCGGGAACAACAATTAGTATAAAAGCCACATTTTCTTGGCTCTTCTCCTCTTTTTCATTCTGCTCCTGATCCGATTCCCTAAATTTTCCAGATCTGTATCCTCCGCCCGCGAGCGCGAAAAAGTGGTAGAGCGTACTCGAGAGTTCTCGGCAGCAACCGACCGGCATATCCTGAATTTGTTGCGTCGATGGGAGCAATCTGAGACAGAGTGTACTCTGTCTCGCCGAGTGTTCTCGATTGCCAGTTTGTTTGCCGCCGTTTCCTTTCCGCGCACCGACGTAAGTCCAAAGGTAGAGCTCTGTTGAACATTCTTGACCGTCGGCTCTTAGACCAGCGAGTATCGACAATAGAAAAGGAATGAAGTTTTCTTCGCCTCTGCCGAGTGTTCTTGGTCGGGTGCTCAAAACGCATTCTTGGTTTTCCCCATTACATCGGGGAGAACTCGCGCTTTACCGCAACGAACACTGCATTGAAGAGCTCAAAGAGGAGCTCATCAGCAGTTTTTTAAGGAATTACCGGTACTATTGAAGGACGACGCCTAACATGGTGTCGAGGTAACCGAAAACGGTGGGAGACGTGGCATGACTTCAGCGCCAGTTTCATAGCAGCGTTTTTGCCCCATGCTGATGAATTCCAGTTAATCGAAGACATCCACGCACGCAAACAGAAACCGGGAAAAACATTTTTTAAATACTCCACATCGCTTATAGTTTTAATAGCTTATAGTTTTAAGAACCGTGACGGCATAACAAGTAAATACCGCCAGATGAAATATCTCTACCGAAATATACATTGCTCTTATCAGTGGCGTATATGACGTACAAATATATGTTCAATCCAAAAATTGAGCCGCGAGGCCGCGAATTGCGAGCATCTACTTCTGCTAGAAAACGCTGAAAAGAAAAAGGAAACCGCATGCAAAACTGCCATAGCTGCCGCCGCGACGACGTACATAGTATGTCCCAAAAGTAATGAGAATGATTCTGGAAAAAATATTTTTATTAAAATTAAGTTCAAACACTTTGTTTTCAAAGTAATCTCCTTGAGAGTCTATACACCGCATCCAATGCCACTCATAACAGCGCTGGAAGTCTTCAACGGAGACACTGTTCAAGGTCCTTGTCACAGCCGCTTGAACGTTTTCGATGATCTCAAAATGATTTCCTTCCAGGTTAGATTTGATGCGAGGGAATAAAAAGAAGTCTCACAGGGCCAGGTCTGGGCTGTAGGGTGGTTGGAATGTTCTTCACAGCCAAAAACTTTCTCACCGTA